TTGGAAGCGTACAAAATTTGGAAGCTTCTGGAGCCAATTGTAACTATGAATCAGAGAATAGAAAAAAAAAGCAAGGTTCTGCGGGCCAAAATAACAGCACAGATAAAATTATAGGCGGTGCTGGGGAATCACCACACACAGCGAAAGGAGCAAAGTAGCAATTAATCGGAACAGAACGAAAGAGGTAGTTTGAATTTGCGACACGTGGTGACGCTTAGTCGAGGGTCGAAACACAAGCGAAAAAAAAATTGTACAGAGAACCAAACTAAATTTTGGTCAGATGTGGGTCAGATATAACTTTTGCAGCAAGGTCGGGCCGGGCAAGGGGACAATTTTACAAAGGCCAGGTGCAACAACACAGCTTCAAAATACAATTCGTTTATACCATGAGCAGAAGTTACAAGGACAAAATGGATTCTATGAAAATTACAATTCTATATACCGCAGTAGGCAAAGGTCACAGCGCAAATATAATTCCGTGTGGGAACCATGTAACAAACGTTCTTTCTGCGTGGGTAGGATTTGGGCTACAGTTACGATTACAGCTACGATTACAGTTACAATCCTTAGACTCTCACTCTAAGGCACAAGTTACTAGACTCTCACTCTAAGTAACACCAAAACCAGGTCGATTTATATTTGATGTGACTTTATTGACTAACTGCGGTATGGGATACAAAGCGATGCAACATATAATGGAACTATAAATACAAAGTTATACAACGGAACAGTTACAGAGTGAAACAATACTAAAAGTAGGCAAATGCTGAGAACGGAAACCAATTACCTGTACAGTCGAGTGTGTTGCAGGGAAAACTACTAGACTAAACTACTACTAACCTAAACCGGTGTGCTGGAACGGAGCTTCCGAGAGGTGAAGACTTGGATCTAGGGCGCGTCCCGCTATTTTATAGTGCGCGCGGAAGGGCGGGGCGACATTTGCATGGCGGAGGCGGGGTCAGGCTTTGGCCAATGACGTGTCTGGGTCACGTGCTCTCACCACGTGACCCCAGACTATCTAATGCAGTAATTGGCCTGTTACACATGAATGGAGACTGTGTAATCTTTCATAGCCAGCTCATGATCTGTAGCCAAACACTACATCAAGGATGTAGCTGTTCATTAAATTGATCTTTCTAAATAAAAAGTACTATTTTGTAAAAATGACTACTGGTAATGACAATTTTAAACCTGCATATGTAAGCTGCTTGGACAATTGTACAATCATATATATTTTGCAAACCGTGAAACAAACTTGCCCCACTGGTAATGCTATAGCCCAATTTGCAGCTGATGAGCAATAAGTTGCTCTGTGCTCACCCATCACCTGGACCTACCAGGGACCTACATGTACAGGCGACCTGTTAATGAGCTCAAGTCGCTGCACAGCAACTATCTGCCAACTCCTGAAAATCGTTGATGATCACTAAAAATTGTGCTCTGATGGAGAAAACACTGGACATATATTACTGAGTCAATGAAAATGTCATTTAGAGCTCGCAGACTCGTCATTTGGTTGATTTGTGCACAATGTGACAGGTATAAGGGAGCAAGGCTAAAGACCCCCCAGGATTTGCCACACCTTTAAATTAACACTCAACAATAAGCTTTACTTCACCAAACTGAGGGAAAACCTGG